GCCCAGCTGCGTTTCTCCCTCCCTGGTCCTCCTGGGCCCCCAAGGACGGGGGGGTGGGTGGGGGTGGGATGGATGGAGACGGTTTGCAGCCCTGACTCCTCCACCTAGGAAAGAAGAGCGTCCCCCCCCCCCAAGGCCTCGTCCAGGCGTCCTGCGGAGGAGAAGCCCCTCCTGACTGCAGAGGCTTCGCTTTCGCTGATAGCTGGACTTTATGGCCGCAGTGGGTGAGGATGAGGCTCCTCCGAGCTGCATGGCGATTCCGGAGCGTTCTCTTCTAAAATGCAGCTGCGATAATAACATTCCCTCCCAAATCTCTTCTCCCCCCCCCCCCCCCCCCCCCCCCAGCCTCTCCTACCAGTCCTGCTGCATTTGATGTGTTAATGGCTTGTGTGCCTGCCAGCACCACAAACATTGTGCGAGAGCAGCACCCAGGCGCCCCTCCCTGCCCTCCTGGGGCGTTTGCCTCCCGGCCAGCTGGGCCTCCTCGGGGAGAGTTGTCCTCACAGGCCTCCCCTGGGGAAGCCGTAGCTGCTCTCCCCGGAAGGGTGTGCCTGGCCTGGGAAGCAGCCGAGGGCCTTTCAAGGGGCCCGGGGGTGGGAGCGGAGAAGGCGGCCACGGGGCAGAGCTCCACTCCGGAGGCGCCTGGCCTTCCAAACCTTCCTGGCTTGTCAGCAGCCCCTCCATCCAGGGTGCCCGTGGCCTAAGATGCTTTCCTTGCCTTTTGATGGGCTTATGAATGCAACCAAGTCCTCGTCCCTGGGAGACACTCAAACACGGGTCCCTCTCGGAGGTGCAGGCAGAGGGCTAAGCTGATGCCCCAAGAGGAGCCCAGGATGAGCCCAGGAGCTCCCGGGGCTTGAAGAGCTGGCCTGGGAGTCCGTGCAACGGACCTCCAAATCCAACGGCAGCTGTCGTGAGGCTCCCCCCCCCCCGCCCCTGGTTTGAAGCCTCTGCTGAGCCACATTTTAAAAGAGCCGCTGGAGGAGATCCATGGATCCGGGTCTCCTCCGGTCTCTGCCTTGAAGGAAAGCTGGAGCAGGCTGGAACATCGTACATTGGAACAAAAATGGCTTTCACATCCAAAGGGCCCCATCCAGCCTCCCCTCTGCCTTCCGGACCGAGACCCATAGAGGGGAAGTGGGGGGAGGGGTGGGGGTTCAGAAGGAGGGGCAGGAAGGCAGCAGAGAAGGAGCCACCCTGCCACTCCAATTCAGATCCCACCCGATGAAGCAGAGGTCTGGGCCCATACGCTCTCCTATCATTAAGCAGCAGCTCCCCCTGTTCGGAGGGGGCTCTCCGCTTCGGTCCCTCCCACCAAGGGGCCGTGGGCCTTCAGGAAGCAGAATGGGCGAGCAGAGGCAGGAGGCCCTCCCTTCCTTGGCTGCCCACCTCTGCAGAGATCACGGGGTCTCTCAAGGGTGCAGAAAGAGAGGGCCTCCAGGGAGGGACTCCTGCAAGGGGCATCTGCTCAGCCAGGGTGACTGGAGGGGTTGCTTTGGACCGCCTTCAGGGCTCCTGCTGGATCCTTGGATTCCTGAGGATGGCCAGAGGGCAAGCTTGCTGGACTTCCGAGTCCCTGATTTCTCCCAGTAGCTCCCTTCAGGATTCTGTAGTGGTTACAAGAAGATGAACATGCTCCTTGCAAGCGAATGTCTTTTTACAGCATAAAACGTGGCCCTCAGGCAAGAGCACCATCATAAATCTTCTTGACTGGCTTGGCATGGGAGAGCCAGAAGTTCAAAGCAGATGGTGGGGAGTCCGGCAGGAACAACATTCACAGGCTGCCAGGATCAAATCCGCTGAACGGAGGAGGTCTTGGGAACGCCAGGGCTAAGCAAGGGGGCCTTGGGAGGTCAGCCTCGGCCCCAGTCGCTCCAGGCCTGAGAGGCCGGAAAGCCCAGCGGACTTTGGGAATGTTCTTCTTGCAGACCTGTGGAGGTCAACGTGTGCACGGCTACGTTTCTAAGAAGGTCCTCAGGAAAAGGTCCCAGCCAACCTGGCCACCAGGGAGCTCATCGTGGGAGCTCAGGGTAGGGGCTCTGGGGCCTCTTCAAAGGAGGGACGGGGCTCTGGGGTGCTGGGCCTCCCTCCCTGGATCGAGCGAGGAAGATGGCCAACCGTTCATAATTCTGAATTATGCCAAGGTGAGCAGTTGCGACCCAAGCAGAGCTGGCACTCCCAAAATCTCCTTTCTTTAGGCTCTGGGCTCCCTCCAGAGCCCCTCTCTTCAGGAGTCCCCCCACCCACCCACCCCCGGCCATGGGCAGAAGGCCAGCCTGCAATCTCCATCCCCTCCCAGAGCCCATTCAGAGGAAAGCCCCAAAAGGAACATATCCACAACACCCCACCAAGGCTGGGCAAGAGGAGGGGAAAGGAAGGCCACGGGTCAAGGGAGGGGAGGGAGAGGAGGGAGGGAGGAGGCGGGTGTGGGTCTTGCAGTGAACACCCAGCAAGGCAGTCATCATCGCTGGTTTCCAGTT